ATTCTAGTACATGGGGAGGAAAAAGACAATAAACAAAATAAGTTAAATATCCATAGGATGTTAGTATGCTAGGGAGGAAAACTAAGTGAGGAAGGGAAGAGGGCTAATTCTAAATGGGATGATTAGTGCCAGCCTCACTGAGAAGGTGACATTTGAGCAGAGAAGGAAGAGCATTCTGCAGAAAGAGGATCTGCTAGAGACAACAGCCTAGGGCTCCAGAGTTCAAGGAATGGCCAGGAGGCCAGACTGTCTGGAGCAGAAGGAACAACGAAGTCAGAGAGGTAAGGGGCCTGTAGCCCATCACAGGATTTGGCTTTTGCTCTAAGTGAGAGGGGAAGCTATCAGGGAGTTTTGAGCAGAGAGATGAGATACAGAATGTAGCTCACTGGAGACAGCAACTTTTGAGTTTTGCTATAAAGGAGAAATAGCATAAGGGATGGGGCAGGTGACAAAGGAAGGTTTGTCTTGTTAAGAGAAATAATAGCACGATTGTATGTAGAATATAGGGCTTGAAATTAAAATCACAATTCTTGCCTTTTCTGCTTCCCAAGTACACTGCTTTATATGACTGCTTCACGTATTGAGAGAAAAGGGGCTATATTTGCTTGATCTACTCATTCAGTGAACTAAGTAGTATTATATCTTATACAAGCTAACATAACCAAGTCAAAGGAAATAATTTCTGAAATCCATAAAGAAACAGTTTTCAGTTTCTGGACACGTAAAGTATCTAACTACAAAATTGATTTATTTCTTAAAAAGCTCTTTCAGGGCCGGCCCGGTGGCTTAGCGGTTAAGTGTGCACGCTCTGCTACTCGTGGCCCAGGTTCGGATCCCGGGCGCGCACCGATGCACCGCTTCTCCAGCCATGCTGAGGCCGCGTCCCACATACAGCAACTAGAAGGATAAGGAAGGCTGTGCAACTATGACATACAACTATCTACTGGGGCTTTGGGGGGAAAAAAATGGAGGAGGATTGGCAATAGATGTTAGCTCAGAGCTGGTCTTCCTCAGCAAAAAGAGGATTAGCTCTGATGTTAGCTCAGGGCTGATCTCCCTCACAAAAAAAAAAAAAGCTCTTTCAAATTCATTATCTTTTCCTACAATCTTTCCACACAGAGAATTACGAAAACATGTCATGGTACAAACTACTTGCCAAACAATTACAGTGTTCCAATATTCAAAATGCCCCTTCAACAAATTTTATGACTACAATTCAAGAGTTTAATGATCAACTCATTTATAACCTGAATATTTTAAAAGATAGTATTAAACTTTTTGTAAAAGTGTCCCCACATTTATGAGTTAACTGTTCTTTTAGACAAGATTAATTTACTTTCTTTTTTCTCTTTACTAAACTGCTCATTTAGTTTAGGAAAAACAATATCAGCTGTAAGGGATTTTTGCCTACTCGGCCATCTGTTTCAAGGTAATGATCACAGAGGCACCCTGCAAGTGATTCATAGGTTTCCTTAGCTTCCTCCTTCAGGGATCATGAAATAGGTGAAATCCACAATTGTCAGTTTCACAACAGCATCTTTTTGAGGCACTAAGCATTTTTGTGGTTGAGTCTTAGGCTTTAATTGAAAAGACCATTTGTTTAAAAAAGTTTTCCCTGGTTTGTGTTTGGAATTTGAATGCAGGTACCAAGAATCTCACAGGTGCTGTGTAATGGACTTGGAACCAGGAAACCTAGATTCAAATCCCCGCTCTGCCTCACACCAGCCCAGCGACTCTGGGCAGGCTGTTTGACCTCTCAGAGCCTCACTAAGCTCAACTGTATTTTTGTTTTTTGTTTTTTTTTTGTTAAGGAGATCAGCCCTGAGCTAACATCTCATGCCAATCCTCCTCTTTTTGCTGAGGAAGACTGGCCCTGGGCTAACATCTGTGCCCATCTTCCTCTACTTTATATGGGATGCCGCCACAGCATGGCTTGACAAGCGGTGCGTCCGTGCGCACCCGGGATCCGATAAGCTCAACTGTAAAATGAGAGGAATCCTTGCCCCAGTGCTTGGTGAGGATGGAATGACCACACTGTAGACGTACAGGCCTAGCACAGCCATGGGCACATTATGGACTCCCAGTAAATTTGCCTGCATCTACTGTACTTGACATCAGGTGAGGCTAAGCCCCTCCCTTTTCTCCTCAGTAAAGAGAGTACAGCTCTTCATATAGTGCTATTTATAGCCTTATAGTCCCCCGTCTAGAGAAAAGGAAGGACTTTTGAGTTAACCATATTCAAGCTATTTTTTTGTGTGTGTGAGGAAGCTCAGCCCTGAGCTAACATCCATGCCAATCCTCCTCTTTTTGCTGAGGAAGACTGGCCCTGGGCTAACATCTGTGCCCATCTTCCTCCACTTTATGTGGGACGCCGCCACAGCATGGCCTGACAAGGGGTGCGTTGGTGTGCGCCCGGGATCCGAACCCAGGCCGCCGCAGCGGAGCGCACACACTTAACTGCTACACCACAGGGCCAGCCCCCATATTCAACCTATTAAGAGGGGAAATGTTTTGTTTTGTCCCCAATGATATTTTTAAAGTTTCACCATTATTCCTCTTGCTGGGAGAATGGGATGGGAAATGGGATCTCACTGGTGTGCATTTTAATAAATTACTTCTGTTTCAAAATTAACTACTGAGATACTTACAACATACTATACTATGATGACCAATACTTTATACTTAACTCTTTTTAATCCAAATGCAAAACTTGCATTAATGTTGGTTATATGTATAAACATACTAATATATATATTTAGGGTTATGAAAATTTCTGAACTTTGATATAGCACATCAAAACACCTTATGTTTGGGGCCGGCCCCGTGGCGTAGCGGTTAAGTGCACGCGCTCTGCTGCTGGCGGCCTGGGTTTCAGATTCCGGGAGCGCACCGACACACCGCTTGTCAGGCCATGCTGTGGCGGCGTCCCACATAAAGTAGAGGGAGATGGGCACAGATGTTAGCCCAGGGCCCATCTTCCTCAGCAAAAAGAGGAGGATTGGCATGGATGTTAGCTCAGGGCTGATCTTCCTCACACAAAAAAAACACCTTATGTTTATATTATCTTGGAATTTTATCTTGCAAGTCAGTGCACTAGAAACTGAAAACGTTGAACATGGCTGCCAAGCTATTGCTGAGACACCCTGGAAAAACTTGGGAAGCAATACAGCAATATAACTTCAAGGAATTTGGAGTCAGAAAAAAACCTGGGTTTAAATCTAGGCTCTGCCACCTACTATGTGTAATTTTGAAAAATTTCTGAACCTCAAAGCCTCAGTTTCCTCTCTGTGAAGCAGGGATACTAATAATAATACTTCTCAGGGATTAAGGGGACTAAATAAAGTCATGCATCTTGAGCTCAGAATGTTATATATTATGATGAGGAAGACTGTTAATGCAAAGTAACTAAATCTGCAGTCCCTGGTTACAGGAGAGACATGTAAAATTGTCAGCTAAGTATAATAACAAGCTCACTCAGCTTAGAAACCAGAAGATCCAAGTTTAAATAACAGCCCAGCTTTCTTCTTGCTAGCTATGTGACCTTGGTCAAGGCCCAATGATTTTGTACTTCAGCCCCCTCATTTAACCATTAGGTATTAATAACATTAGTTACAATTTGTTAAGCACTGACCATACACCATGCACTCTGACGGGTCGACATATGAACTCTACTCTTTACAATAACCCTTCAAGGTAGATGTTCTTGTCTCTATTTCATAGATGGCTGAAACTGAGGGAAGTCAAACTTGCTCAAGGCCACACAGCTTGTTAAGTGGTAAAACCCAGATCCACACCCAGGTTTATTGGTCTCCAAATCCTGTCCTTAGCTACCTGCCACCTACCTCTCCTAGAGAAAATCGAAAGACATGATTCCTGAGAAAGTGCTTATTGCACTGAAACATCTTACATAAAGGTGAAGTATTACGGTTACTACTCTATATCAACATAAATAATTCACAAAATGGGTTTGTGATTTGCCTCTCAGAGCCTGGGAACGCTGAAAGAACAAAAGGTTACACTTCAAGCTCTCTTTCATCTCCTCTTGGAATTTTGCCTTGACCTCAATTCCCCCCCAACAGACCTGATAAACAACATTCAAGAGCAGATACCCATGCCGCTCTCTCCGTGTCACTCAAAGGCAGCCCTCCGCGCTCCCTGGAGTCCAGGGCGGCAAGATCTGGTGATTTTCCTAGAAGTAGGGGCAAAACATTTTCTTGGGCTAACTTCTCGCACCTACACTTGCAGTTCGCTTGGGTAAGCATAAATAAAGTGGTCACATAAACATCCGCATAGACTAGTGCTTTCGAAATCATGCCTCTATGGAACTCCAGTTCCAGGCACACATGCAGTCAATCTAATTAAAGCAAATTTCAGTCCCTTTTCAACGATATGGTGTAAAATTTAGAGCTGATTTCCCCTCTGAAAATTTTAACTAGTCCCACGTAGTTAAGTATAACTCTCTAAGTTATCCACCCTTGCAATATAATAAGCTTCTTGGAAATACCAAAGTGTTGATGCCGGACATGACATATGAGGCGCAAAGTGGGCCTCGGTTTGGTATCACCTGGAAGGCACTTCCTTCCCGCCCCCTCCCCTTTGAATCTGGGAGATGCTCAGCGTGGCCCTCTCCTCCCTGCAGAGGAAGCCGGAGAGTGAAGTCCAGATGAAGTGGAGGGTGTTAATTTGCCCAGACAGATCCGGACTCCGGGAAGGCGCTCACGCCGGAGCGGCTGAATCCAGGACTACTAAAGCCCACTTACTCGCATGAGGAAGAAAGGTCATCCCGGGTTTCCCAGAAGCCGGTCTCCGAGCGTGGGGACCGCGACTTTCTCCGGTCCCGGGACCTACCCTTCCCTTCCCTGGGAGGCCCTCTCGCTTCCCCTGGCGCTCCCGGCGGGCTTCACCCCGCACCCGACGGCGGGCTCAGCGAAGCGCGGCTCACCAGCCGGGGCAATGTTAGCGTGGGAGAGGGAGCGGGAGGCTGAGCCCCCGGCCCTTACCTCGGACGGCGAGATCTCAAAAATGCCTGCGATCTTGGCGTAGAGCTCATGGATGCTGGAGAAATCCTCCACTCGGCCCGTGGCGCTGCCGTGCGCCAGCTGCGTGTGGAAAACCAACCTGCGCGCGGGAGCCGGGGGCTTCGGGGGGCCGCCGCCGCCCGCGCCCGCCTGCTCGCCCTCCACCAGCCGGGCGGTCTCCTTGGACTTGGCTTTCTTCTTTCGCCGCAGCCCCAGGGGCATCTTGCCTGGCCGAGGGCGGGGGCCCACCTGTGCTGCCGTCGGCCGCCTCCTCGGCCCGGCGCGCGGACTTTGCGCCCCGGCCCCCGGGCTCCGCGCAGGTAAAGGGCGCCGCTGGGCCAATGGCAGAGGCGCTTCCGCCTTCCGCGCCGGGTCGGGGCCCCCTCCTCCACCCGAGGAGCGGCACCTGGACGTGGAGCAGCCGCCTGCCCTCTCCCCGGATGGCTCTGGAGAGAAGAAAAGTTGGGCACAGTCCCTCACCTCATCTCCCGGCATCTCCCCGCTCCTTTTAAAAACGGCTCGATTTCCAAGCCCAGCCTTGGGATGCTGAAGCTACGGAAGAACACGTCCTAGAACACAGACGCGCTGGCCCTTCTGGTGCTTTGCAAGAACGTGCAGTACGCTCTCACACGCTATTGGGCCACACGCCTCGGTACGTCTAGGCCACTGGGGACAGGGATTTAAGTTGAAGTTAACCTGCATCTGCCTTCTCTGCACCTACATCCTGCCTCACACCAATCTGCCTTGAGATTGGTGCCACATTAAATTCATAGTCAAACACCCTCAGCACCTCTCAGTAATCCTTTTTGCTTTTTCCTGGGCACCTTTCTCTCCCACTCAGCGTTCTCCTCAAGTCATTTGCCCCACCTCCGCCTTTCTTGGTCTCTGCGGAGAATCCTACCTCTTACCCTAGAGAGAAAATCGAGGCCATTTAGTGTGACGTGTGAGCTCCCTCAATTTCCCACCCCTTGTCTGTAACTCCACCCACCTCCCTTCTCCAAACTCGGAGGAAGTCTTTTCATTTGATTGGTCTGATCTCTTCGCTACTCCTCAAGGATCTCTATTTTTTAAGCTACCTGTTGACCCTTGTCCTTCCCCTCCCCACCTGGTGCCACTCACTGATCTCTTACATTGTTTTCCTCCATCCCTGCAGTCGCCTGTAGCTACATTTTCACAACAAAGCAAAACAGTCTTGAATTATTAGCTGCATTTCCTCACTTCCACCTTTGCTCTTAGACTCGCTGTGATCAGACTTTGTCCCCACACTCCACTGAAATTGCTCCCACACTCCACTGAAATTGCTCTCCTTTATGCTCAGCACTTCATAATCACCAGATATGATTAAGTCTTTTCAGTCTTTATCTTACTCGACCTTTAAGAGAATCTGACAGCACTGACCATTTCATTCTTTTTGTGTGTGTGTGTGAGGAAGATCAGCCCTGAGCTAACATCTATTGTCATTCCTCCTCCTTTTTTTTCCCTTTTTCTCCCCAAAGCCCCAGTAGATAGTTGTATGTCATAGTTGCACATCTTTCTTAGTTGCTGTACGTGGGACGCCCCCTCAGCATGGCCGGACAAGCGGTGTGTCTGTGCATGCCCGGGGTCCAGGCCGGTGCCGCCAGTAGCGGAGCACGTGCACTTAACCGCTAAGCCGCTGGGCCGGCCTCATGACCATTTCATTCTTAAATCAGCCTCTTGTTTGATTTCCTTACCTCTCTGCCTCTTTGCTAACTGCTACTCTCCAGGAACTGTGTTCTCCAACTGTGTTCTCCAAGGCTTGACCAAGATTCTTCTCTCCTGACTCTGCATGCTCTCCCTGCAGGACCACATGTATTCTCTTGGGTTCAATAGTTGGTGTTGGCCTCCAAATTTATATCTGCAGCTCAGTCTACCAGAAAGTAAACGTAGTGCAGGAAATGCAAAGTAAGCTTGTACAAAACTGAGCTCATCATTTCTCCTGAAAGAATCTTTTTTTTACTCCTGATGTCAGTGAATAGGATCATGTGCTCAGTGGCCCAGACCAGACATCTTTGAGTCATCATACCAAGCTTTTTCCTTTTCCCTCACCTTTCACATCAATTTCAGTCCTGAAAATCCATGTTTCTCAAATTAAGATTAGCAGATATACTGGGGCAGGGGAAGGGAACCTGTTAATTTTCTAGGATAACTTTAAAATTTTTGTGTTTTATGTTTCTCTGAATTAAAATTTAATATAAACATATTCTGGTTCTTATGAATGACTCCCTAAAAATGGTATACTGCTACAGGATCTCGGGACTCGAATTTGCCTTTGTGTTTATGATTGCTACAGCACCAGATACCATTACTTTAATTATCTTGGGTTAATGAGCAAAGAGTAGAGAAAACCTAATAAGTAAATGATGCATTTCCATCAAGTGAAAACCACATGACTTTACAATGCAGTGTTTGAATAAAAAGCTCCCTGAAGTTTTATTTAAGAAAAGTAGGAAAAGTGAGTCATCATAGGGTTCATGGCAGGTACATTATCAATATCTAAATAGTATGAGGGAACACAAGAGGGTATGAAATTAAGAAAAAATTCAGAGAAGAATGCCTTTGAGCTGTGTCAAATAAAATATGAAATAAACAGGGCAAAAGTATTGGCATGGGGTGGGAAGGTTGGATTGTATAACCTTTCAAGCTCCTTTAATTTTTTTTTTTTTTTTTAAAGATTTTTTTTATTCAGTTTTTTCCCCCCAAAGCCCCAGTAGATAGTTGTATGTCATAGGTTCACATCCTTCTAGTTGCTGTACGTGGGACTCGGCCTCACGTTGGATGGAGAAGTGGTGCCTCGGGGCGCTCCCGGGATCCGAACCCGGGCCGCCAGCATCAGAGCGCGCACACTTAACCGCTAAGCCACGGAGCCGGCCCTAAGCTCCTTTAATTTTTAAATCTTTTTTTTTTTTTGCCTATAAAGTTTCCCTCAAGACCTACATCAAGTTCACCTTTGCTGTAAAATCTCCCATAAGGAACCAGCTGTATCAGCCATAGTTACAGCAGGAAACAGATGATACAATCAGATTAAGAATATTTGGCGATGGTTTAGTAAAGGGACTGGGCAGGTGGTGGTCAGGGTATACTCATAACATATAGTATAACCCACACATCTATGGATGGCTAATTTTCGACAGATGAGCCAAAAACATACAATGGAGAAAGGAAAGTCTTTTCAAGAAATGGTGTTGGGAAAACTGGGCAGCCACATGCAAAAGAATCAAAGTAGACCATTATCTTACACCATACACAAAAATTAACTCAAAATGGATTAAAGACTTGAATGTAAGACCTGAAACCATAAAACCCCTAGAAGAAAACATAGGCAGTACAGTATGCTCTTTGACATTGGTCTTAGTGGTGTCTTTTTGAATACCATGTCTCACCAGGCAAGGGAAACAAAAGAAAAAATAAACAAATTGGACTACATCAAACTAAAAAGCTTCTGCACAGCAAAAGAAACCATCAACAAAACAAAAAGACATCCTAACAATTGGGAGAAGATATTTGCAAACCATATATCTGATAAAGGGTTAATATCCAAAATATATAAAGAACTCATACATAACTCAACAACAAAAAAACAAACAATCCAATTAAAAAATGAACAAAGGATCTGAACAGTTTTCCAAAGAAGATATACAGATGGCCAACAAGCACATGAATAGATGTTCAACATCACTAATTATTAGGGAAATGCCAATCAAAACTACAATGAGATATCACCTCACACGCATCAGAATGGCTATAATTAACAAGACAAGAAATAACAAATGTTGGAGAGGATGTGGAGAAAAGAGAACCCTCATACCCTGCTGGTGGGAATGTAAACTGACGCAGTCATTACGGAAAACAGTAGGAGATCAAAAAGTTAAGAATAGGAGCTGGCCCCGTGGTGTACCGGTTGAATTTGCACGCTCCATATCGGTGGCCCAGGGTTTTCCAGTTGGGATTCTGGGCGCGGACCTACTCACTGCTCATCAAGCCATGCTGAGGCGGTGTCCCACATAGAAGAGCTGCAAGTCTACAACTATGACACACAGCTGTGTACTGGGGCTTTGGGGAGAAAAAAGAGAAAGAGGAGGATTGGCAACAGATGTTAGTGCAGGGCCACTCTTCCTCAAAAAAAAAAAAAAGAACAAAGCCATACATTGCTCTTTCTAAAAAAAAAGAAAAAAATTAAGAATAGAACTACCATATGATCCAGCTATTCCATTTCTGGGTATTTATCCAAAGAACATGAAAACACGAAGTGGAAAAGATATTTGCATCTCTATGTGCATATCAGCATTATTCACAATAGCCAAGACTTGGAAACAATGTTAAGTGCCCATCAATGGATGAATGGATAAAGAAGATGTGGTGTATACACACAATGGAATATATACACTACTATATATACATATACACTACTCAACCGTAAAATAAAAGATGAAAGCTTGGTATTTGTGACAACATGGATGGACCTTGAGAATATTATGCTAAGGGAAATAAGTCAGACGGAGAAAGTCAAATACCATATGGTTTCACTCATAAGAGGAATATAAAAACAACAACAACAACAATAAACAAACATATAGATATAGAGATTAGATTGGTGGTTACCAGAGGGGATGGGGAGGGGGGAGGGCAAAAGGAGTAAAAGGGCATATGTGTATGGTGACTGATGGTAATTAGTCTTTGGGTGGTGAACATGATGTAGTCTACACAGATATCAAAATATAATGATGTACACCTGAAATTTATATAATGTTATAAACCAATGTTACAGCAATAAAAAAATTTTTAAAAATAACATATAGTATAGTACCCCATAGCTGTTTCTATCCCAAAGTCTAAAGAGATGAGGAATTAGAAAATTTTGAAGAGAGAATCATCTTAAGAGGAGCTGTCACATTTGCTTGAAGAAAACATCCAGCCAGAGGCATTCTAGAGACAAGGCAGCTGGGGAAATGGAAATGAAGAGCCTGACCCAAGACTACCCTTAGACCTGGGCAAAAGGAGCACCTGCTCCGGCCCTCCTTCAGTTGCACAAAACCCTACAAGGGGGGCGGCCCCGTGGCTTAGCGGTTAAGTGCGTGCGCTCTGCTGCTGGCGGCCAGGGTTCGGATCCCGGGCGCGCACCAACACACTGCTTCTCTGGCCATGCTGGGGCCGCGTCCCACATGCAGCAACTAGAAGGATGTGCAACTATGACATATGACTATCTACTGGGGCTTTGGGGAAATAAATAAATAAAATTATAAAAAAAAAAAAAAAAAACCCTACAAGGTATGGAGTCTACAGGGTCAAGGGAGCGTGGCCACTCAGAACCCATGCCCTCTCTTCTGCACTATGTTCTGAATACCCAGGATCCTGGATTTCCTTGCCCAGATGGCCCCAAGTCTGCTTCCAGAAACTGCATAGGCTTTC